TGTATATACAGATATACCTTTATATTACGTGTTCAAGAAAGTAATTCTTGATGGAAAACAAATTAGTCGTTGGGAAAACGTCAGAGTAAATTTAATTGTATTGGACGAATGTACTCAGTTAGTCCAACTGAAATTGAATTATTCCATTTACGTATTCTTTTATTGAATATTAAAGGAGCAACAAGTTATAATGCTTTAAAAACAGTTAATGGTGTATTACATCAAACATTTACTTCTGCATGTTTGGCTTTGGGTTTAATTGAAGATGATGATGAATGGAAACGTGCAATTAGCAAAGCTTCTATATGGATGATGCCAAGACAACTTAGGTATCTTTTTGTTCGAATACTAATGCATTGCCAACCATTGCATCCAAAAGAATTATGGAATGAATTTCAAGTTGCAATGTCCGAAGATTACATACGACGATTTGGACGAGTCATTGGAATAAAAAAAGCTTATGCTCAAATCAATCAATTACTTCGCAAAAAAGTTGGAAACTTAAGCAATTTCCAGAAATGGAACAAATAAAGATAAAATATGAAGAAGAAGATGCAGAACAATTGCAAAGAGAAGCTTTATGTGGTCAGCAACAGTATAGCCAGTTAAATTATGGTCAAAAAATGTTGTTGATTATGTTTTAACTCTTTTAACAAAAACTAACAGTCAACAAAAAAATGCTTATACATTGACGGTCCAGGAGGTTCAGGTAAAACTTTTGTTTACACAACATTATACTATTTACTCTCAAATCTCAAGGCAAAGTTGTTAATACAATGGCTTTCACTGGTATCGCTGCAACATTACTACCAAATGGAAGAACAGCACATAAAACTTTAGGTTTGCCCGTACCTCTTTTTAATGATTCAACATCGAATATAAAAGTTCAATCCAAAGAAGCTGATTATTTAAAAAAACAGATGTTTTTATTTGGGATGAAGCACCAATGGCACCGCGATATGCTCTTGAAGTAATGAATTGTCTCTTACAAGATTTAATGCATAATGATATACCATTTGGAGGAAAAATTGTTATTTTTGGTGGAGATTTCAGACAATTATTGCCAGTAAACAAAATGCCACACGTTCTGAAACTGTAAATTTATCAATTAAATTCAGTTCATTATGGCAATATTTCAAAATTTTTTCATTAACAGAAAATGCGTATTTTACCACATGAACAGGAATTTGCTCAATTTTATTAGATTTGGGTAATGGTTCTCTAAATGATCAGTCTAATAATATTGAAATTCCATTAAGATGTGTAGCAAATTTAAATGCAAATATAACGAAAGATACATACGAAGAAATAATCAAACACAATCATATAGACTTGCAGCAAAACGTGTTATACTTTCTGCAAGAAATGTTGATGTGGATGAATTAAACAAACAAGTTGTAAATTTACTTGATGAATCAACAGAAAGAGTATACACAAGTATAGATACTACTGAAACTACTAATGATAATAATGATATTAATGAAGCTATTTTAACAGAATATTTAAATACTTTAAATCCAACAAATCTTCCACCTTATGAACTCCGATTAAGAAAATATACAATTATCATGTTGATTAGAAATCTGAATATCAGCGAAGGTTTGTGTAATGGAACAAGATTATTAATTTTAGAATTAGGAAATAATTTGTTAAAATGTGAAATTCTGACTGGTGATAAAAGAGGAGAAATTATCTTTTTAAATCGTATAACTTTATACTGTGAAGATGTTTACCCATTTGTATTTAAAAGAAGACAATTTCCAATTAAATTAGCTTTTGCTATGACCATAAATAAATCACAAGGACAAACATTTGATAAAATTGCAATCGATTTAAGAAAAGATGTTTTAGTCATGGACAACTTTATGTTGCATTTTCACGAGTTAGATCTTGGGAATCATTAGAAATTTATTTAGGACAAGAAAAACAAAGTAGATTGGTTAAAATTATGTATATACAGAAATATTTCAATAAGAATGCTGGTATTTTACAGTGTAAATTATAATTACTTTAAATAAATTATAATAGTAAATTTTATATTATACCATATTTACAATTTTTTAATTTTATATTATATGTTATATATTTACAATTACAAACATTGTAATGATTATTTATCATTACAAACAGATATAAATTTTAATATATTATATATAATATGTTTTATAACGCATAATAGAAACTACATGTAATAAAATATTATATCTTAAATAGATATTCTAGATATTCGCTTCCGATCGCAAGTCAACAGGCATATCGTTTTTATATGTTTTTTTTTTGAAACATATCGCGACATAAATATCCTGTCGTACAAAAACACGCTCGAAATATAAACAATTAACGGTGTCGCAACCGTTTCTGCTGCCGAATAATTATATTTTATTGAGCATGCGCGGCTTCTCACGGGCGCCTCGTTTCGCCAATAATCATCGTGATCGCCAGCTCGCGCATGCTTTCTAACAGCCGTTGTTTGTCAATTTTGACAGCGGCCAATTACGCGTAATACACTCAGGTCACCTCGCGCAACTTTAAAAAGACGCAAAATTATTGGCGCTTCCCGAAAAGGTGGGTTTTTTGCGGAAACCATAAAAGAGAGCTCGCACCCGAAATCACAGCTTTATCGCTTTTCCGTCGTGAAAACATATCGCAAACCGCTTATCAGATACACCGCAAAATTCGTTGACGACCGCCGCTATTCCGCACTTTGATTTTGATTCCGATTTCACTGTAAAATAATTAAAGTTTTGTAATAAGTTTGTTATAGTATTTTGTCAATACGTGTGTGATATTATTAAAGTCCTTGTTTTACAAAAAAGTGACTCATCCTTTCGTGCAGCGCGATCCTTTGCTCAAGCAGCGCGTTCGTGAACATATTTTTGGTCCTTCGAGCCGGATCCGTCGCACCGGCAACCGCAAGTTCGCGAGCGCGGCTTCTCGCGTGAGTGACAGTAGTGCAGTTTCGTGTGCAGTCATCATGAGTACCCACGCTGGTTGACTGTCAGCGTGAGCTTCAAGTCCGCATCTCACGTTCTGTGGAGTACTTGAAGAAGCTGGGCAGCTCCAATATCACCGCCAGTGCTATCTCCACACGCACCAGAATTCTGGATCAGCTGTGGACAAAGTTCGAGGCGCAGCATGACCTTATCCGTGCGGCCTTGAAGGAAAGGTTCAGTGAGAGCGAGTACTTTAAATCAGAGTTGCATGCTGATACGGAGAATCTCTACGTGTCACAACGAAGCATACTAGACAGCTACGCTGAACACTATCGTGCAGCAAACGTACCTCCTTCTGCCGACGCCACGTCAAGGTCATCACTGCCGCGTATCAAAGTGCCGCCATTTTCTGGTGCCTACGCCGATTGGCCGTCGTTCCGAGATCTCTTTCTCTCCGTCGTGAGTGGCAATGCGATCTCCAACATCGAGCGCTTTCACCACCTGCGCTCATGTCTGACGGGGCAAGCTGAAAGGTTAATAAGGTCATTGCCTGTCACCAGCGACAATTACGATCGCGCTTGGGCGATTCTGGACAAACACTACAACAACAAAAAGGAATTGATCCGCTCCAACTTCGCCACGTTCATCGCCGTGCCGAAGATGAAGGGAGATACCGCAGAAGAATTGAGACGCATTCACAACGCCGTGACTGCCGCCGTCAATGGTCAGGAGAGCATCGGACGTCCAATCAACACCCACGGAATGGACCTCTTCAACTTCCTGGTCACCGAGCTGTTTGATGCACGCACACGTCTTGAGTGGGAGTCGTCCACGTCAGACTCATCAGAGCCGGCACAAAACGAGGCACTTGTGGACTTCATCAGCCGTCGGATCCTGACGCTCAATGCCGCACGACCGAAGAGCGCCAGCAAACCGCCCGGAGATGCTCCACGGGTAGCCAAGGCACACGTCACGAAGCACCAAGGAACCGAGTCGCCGCACTGTGCCTGTGTCGCGAGAAGCACACCTTGATGACCTGCCGAGATTTCAAGGCCAAGACTGTCAACGACCGCAAGGCATTTGTCGAGAGTAACAGGCTCTGTTACAATTGCTTAGGCAACCATTTTCTCTCTCGCTGCCAGTCAAAGAAGAACTGTCTGACATGCGACGCACGACACCACACGATGTTACACGGAGCACCCACATCGTCAGCGTCAACTGAAGCCACACGCGCCACCACACTGACCGCTACGCTGCAAAATCCAGAGTGCAAGGCCGTTCTTCTTGCAACAGCACGAATAAACGTCGCCGATCGGTACGGATCACCACAAGCCGTACGCGCGTTGATCGACCAATGTTCTGAGGTGTCGATCATTTCGGAGACCTTGGCACAACGTCTTCGCCTTCCTCGAGCCTCAACGGGCCTCTCCATTTTCGGCATCGGAGGGACTCGCTCGGGATCCGCTCGTGGCAAGGTCACGCTGCACGTAACGTCAGACGTGACCAACGCCAAACTCAGCGTGGTGGCCTTTGTGCTGCCCCGCATATCGCTGCAGCAAGGCTCGGTTTCGCGGGAGGAACGCAGCTGGCCTCATCTCAACGGACTCCAACTGGCCGATCCTCGCTTCTTAGACGACGACCCAGCTGAGCTGCTACTGGGAGCCGAGGTCTATTCCTTGATCCTCGAGGAAGGCCTCCGCAAGGGTGAATCAAGGATGCCGATCGCTCAGCAAACCAGCCTGGGATGGATCCTCTCTGGCGGCTACGACGCAGCAGCAGTCACGGGACATCGCCGCACCTTCCGGTGCACCGCCGATCATGACCTCGCCGACTTCGTTCGACGCTTCTGGGAGCAGGAGAGCGAGCCGATAACTCGGGCTTCACTCACTCCCGACGAGACCAAGTGCGAGGAACTCTACGTGCGCACCGTCACGCGCACGCCCACCGGGAGATACATGGTGAGGCTGCCCTTCTCATCGCCCGCCGACGACTCTTCAGGATACTCGCCGCCCAGCGGAGCGCCTACTGAAAGCCATGGAGACCAAGGGCAGCCGAGATCTTCGATTTGGCGACCTCTATCACGGCTTCATGCAGGAATACGAGGACCTGCAACACATGAAGAAGGTAAATACCTCAACAACAACGGAGAATTTCAGATGCTACTTACCACATCACGGGGTCCTGAAGGAATCGAGCACGACGACAAAGCTCCGAGTCGTGTTCAACGGCTCTCAGCGCACACGGGCCGGTACTTCGCTCAACTCGCAGCTGCTGACTGGGGCAAACCTTCTGCCAGCGCTCACCGACGTGTTGCTGCGATGGCGTTGGCACCGGTACGTCTTCGTCACCGACATCGAGAAGATGTACCGCCAAATCCTCGTACATCCTGAGGACTGCCGTCTCCAAACAATCTTGTGGCGTCACAACAAGACGGACGAGATCGGAGAGTACGAGCTGCAGACGGTGACCTACGGCATGGCGTGTGCACCGTTCCTGGCCATCCGAACTCTGCAACAACTTTGTGCGGACGAGGGGGCGCAGTTTCCTCAAGGTGCCACAGTACTTCGGCTTGATTGCTACGTCGACGACGTGGTCACCGGCGCGGACAACCTCGACGATGCCGTCAACCTCCAGACGGAGCTGCGCAACCTCTGCATGGCGGGCGGATTTCCACTGAGGAAGTGGGCCTCGAACCATCCAGAGGTCCTCACAGGAGTCCCACAGGAGCATCGGCTGCAGCAAGGACCACATTCCTGGGAAGGAGAGAGCCATTCGACATTGGGCCTGCGATGGCGTCCTCAGGATGACCGGTTTGCCTTCGCAATACATCCTCGGCCAGTCAGCAAATTCACGAAGCGACGAGTCCTCTCCGAAACTGCACGCCTATTCGACCCGATGGGCTGGCTCGCGCCTGTCGTCATTCGGGCGAAGATCCTAATCCAAAGCACCTGGCTTCAGCAACTTGATTGGGACGCTCCACTGCCGGCCAAGGATGCTCGACATTGGCAACAGCTGTTGGATCAGTTGCCGCTGCTCAGGCACATACGCGTGAATCGCTGGCTCAGCACCGACAACGATCACTCGAGGTTGCAGCTCCACGGTTTTGCTGATGCTTCCGAACGAGGATACGCCGCAGTAGTCTACCTCCGCACCACTGAAAGGGGAAAACCGTCAATTAATCTACTCATGGCGAAATCCAAGGTCGCACCCGTCAAGCAGGTTTCGTTGCCGCGACTTGAGTTGTGCGCTGCTAGCCTACTCACCACGCTCACGCTGCATGTCCGCGACATTCTCGGCTTGGCAACTACTCCAGTATATCTGTGGTCCGATTCCCAGGTCACGCTTCATTGGATCCAGGACACACGCCTCGCTGGAAAACTTTCGTCGCCAACCGGGTAGCTCATATCCAGACACAGCTCCCGGACGCTCGATGGAGACACGTAGCCGGGAAGAATAATCCTGCAGACTGCGCATCGAGAGGAATTACTCCTGGAGAATTAATCAACCACGCATTATGGTGGACTGGACCTACCTGGTTGGCACTGGACGAGACAGCATGGCCCAGCTCAGAGGTCCACATCGCAGAGGATGACCTTCCTGAACAGCGCACCACCAGCCTGATGACCAAGGGCTCCGTCGTCGTCGAACCGGACATCCTTCTTCGGTTCTCTGCGCTTCATCGGCTGCTACGCGTTACGGCTTGGTGTCGTCGATGGCTCAACGTGGCGAGCCGGGAGGTCACACCTGGTTGTCCACTACACCCCGACGAGCTGGACGCCGCCCTACTCCAGTGGCTTCGAGTAGTACAGGCGCTCCACTTCCCGGACGAGATAGCTGCTGCCACCGCAGGACGCTCCGGCCCACCACGCAGTTCACTGATCAAGCTGAATCCGTTCATCGACGACCAAGGTGTACTGCGCGTTGGAGGACGTCTCAAACACGCACTGCTGCCCTACGACGAGAAGCACCCGGTGATCATACCGCCGGCCTCCTGGATGACACGACTGCTGATCGAGTCCTGCCATCGTCGCTCTCTGCACGGCGGCGTCCAGATGACACTCGGTCTGCTTCGCCTTCGGTCTGGGTACCACGCGGAAGGACCGTCGTCAAGCAGCAACTGCATCGGTGCGTCACTTGCACTCGCTGGCGCGCTGCCACGCCACAGCCTCCAATGGGCCACCTTCCTCGGGACCGAGTGACGCCAACTCGACCTTTCTTGAGCACTGGACTGGACTACGCGGGACCAATTTCCATCCGGACCAGCAAGGACGCGGACACCGCTCACAGAAAGGATACATCGCGGTCTTCGTCTGCTTTTGGTCGAAGGCCATCCACCTCGAGGTCGTCTCGGATTACAGCTCCGAGGCCTTCATCGCCGCCTTACGCCGCTTCGTCTCTCGCAGAGGACTGTGTACGGACGTCTACAGCGACTGCGGCACAACATTCGTTGGCGCCGATCGCACCCTGCGGGAGCTCTTCAAGGCGTCGACCTCCGAGGGCCTTCACATCGCCCGCGCCGCCAACACTCAAGGGATCCGCTGGCATTTTAATCCGCCAGCGGCCCCTCACTTCGGTGGTCTTTGGAGGCTGCCGTGAAATCCACTAAATTTCACCTCCGCCGAGTAATCGGCGACACCACGCTCACTTTTGAGGAGCTTAACACACTCCTCACACAAATCGAGGCGTGTCTTAATTCTCGTCCGTTGCAGGCTCTGTCAGACGATCCAGACGACACTTCAGCACTCACTCCAGGGCACTTCATCATCGGCGCGCCTCTATTAGCTATACCTGAGCCGTCACGGATCGGACAATCATCATCCACGCTGTCACGCTGGCATCACCTGCAGCTGATGCGAGACCATTTTGGGCAGCGGTGGTCGGCTGAGTACGTGCACGGGCTCAACCCCCGCACCAAATGGGTCAAGGCCGAGGCCGCACCTCACGTCGGGGACCTTTGCATCATCCGCTCGGAGCTCACCCCTCCGACTCGATGGCCTCTTGCAAGGATCACGAGACTGCATCCCGGGGACGACGGTGTCGTCCGCGTGGTCTCAGTACGCACCGCCACATCCGAATTCGTACGCCCGATCATTAAATTGGTCATGCTCCGGGCGCGGATCGTATTCCGGACACGAATAACGCGGACACGCCGTCCGCCGGCACGTAACACATCACTCATCAACGTTCGACACTCATTCACGAGATTTATCACATCATACACTGTATCATTTGTCACACCTCACTCTCATCATGCACCACCGCACTTGCAATTGTTCCATAATCACCACACTGCACTACACGTTCGTCATTTCACATCAACACACACACTCGTTACTGTCTCAGCTGATCATCACATTCCACGCGATCACCACGTGTTTCCGCGGCTCAGCTGATCGATTCAAATTACACGCGATCATCACGTGAATCTCGCCGCGCCGGCGCGCCTGCCCCACCATCGATCACTATCGACTTGCGATTCCGCGACCGAAAACACATAAACATGTTGTCACTGCGCGACAAGGCGGGCGGGAATGTTTGAAACGCATAATAGAAACTACATGTAATAAATATTATATCTTAAATAGAATATTCTAGAATATTCGCTTCCGATCGCAAGTCAACAGGCATATCGTTTTTATATGTTTTTTTTTTTGAAAACATATCGCGACATAAATTATCCTGTCGTACAAAAACACGCTCGAAATATAAACAATTAACGGTGTCGCAACCGTTCTGCCGAATAATTATATTTTATTGAGCATGCGCGGCTTCTCACGGGCGCCTCGTTTCGCCAATAATCATCGTGATCGCCAGCTCGCGCATGCTTTCTAACAGCCGTTGTTCTGTCAATTTTGACAGCGGCCAATTACGCGTAATACACTCAGGTCACCTCGCGCAACTTTAAAAAGACGCAAAATTATTGGCGCTTCCCGAAAGGTGGGTTTTTTGCGGAAACCCATAAAACACAAAAATCGCCTCGACCCGAAATCACAGCTTTATCGCTTTTCCGTCGTAAACATATCGCAAACCGCTTATCAGATACACCACCGCAAAATTCGTTGACGACCGCCGCTATTCCGCACTTTGATTTTGATTCCGATTTCACTGTAAAATAATTAAAGTTTTGTAATAAGTTTGTTATAGTATTTTGTCAATACGTGTGTGATATTATTAAAGTCCTTGTTTTACAAAAAGTGACTCATCCTTTCGTGCAGCGCGATCCTTTGCTCAAGCAGCGCGTTCGTGAACAATTGTTTTATATTTTTTATTTCTTCGAACGTGCATTCTGTGATGAAAATGCTTTTTGAAAATGGATTATCCATATTTCTTCATCATAACTCTGAGGATGCATTTTTACAATAGTAAATTTTCGAATTACTTTTACCAAAAATTGTCAAATAAAATAATAGAAATAATTTTATTTTGTACATATATGACAAGAAAAATTATGAAACAATAAGTTAGAATCAATATTTAATATAAAATATCTAAAAGAAAATAACAAAATATTTAAAAATTAAACATAAATTAATTTAAATTATAGGTAATATTATTTAATTAAATATTTATAACACATGATATTGTAGTATGGTAAATTAATAAAAAAAAGAATATAATGATA